TATCATAAAGACTTCTACAGAAACATGTGACATTGTTTCACAAAACTATTTTGGCTGATATTTAAAATCTCTGTTCAGAAAATGGATGGGACTTTTACTCCTGGAATCAAACTGTTGAGCTCTACATCATACATCATCACTTCTTATTCCTTGATGTTTGTTCCTGAGGTTTAAAGGTACAGTGTGTAGAATTTTGTGATATCTAGTGTTGAAGTTGCATGTTGCAGCTGAACACCCCTCACCCCACCCTCTCCTTCCAAACATGAAAAAGAACCTGTGGCCGCCTTCAATTTTATAAAAACTCAAAAGTTGTTTAGTTTGTCCAGTCTGGACTAATGTAAAAAAACATGGAGGCCTCCGTAGAGAGGGTCCCCTCGATGTCAATATAAAGTATTTAAATATAAAGGGACTTTTCTGGGGTAAAGAAAACTACAATTCATACAATTTAGATGAAATGAACTAGTGAAAACATCATGAGGATTATTCTACATTCAATTTCTGCCAATAGATCCCTTTCACATAAATCTTACACACTGGACCTTCAATACAAATATAAAAAGTCATGGTAAGGCGAGAGCTGCCTCACACTGGTCTCAAAATAGATGACATACAACAACAAAGTTGGTGTTTGCTGCTGTGAGAGTGCAGTAAGCCTGGTACAGAGATAAAGAATGATAGAGGGTTTTACAAACCTGTCTACTAGGAACACAGAGGGAAGGCTTTCACTCTTGGTCAATCCCTGCATGCGGGGAAAAATCCCTGTGTCTTGAGGCCTTTGCTCAACATTGGTGCAACCACAGCAGTGCTGTTGAAAAAGATTTACAAAGCAAGTGGTGAAAAGGTGTTGATCCATGTGTAGAAAGGCCAAGAAATAAATTTGTGCCGTTTCTCCTTGTATCTACCCCTTCTGCAGACCTGTTGCTTAATAACATTAAGGAATAATAATGATGAAACGTGCCTTTACTTTTGAGCATGGCTCGGGTAGAGTGATGGGGTGTTTTCTCACACTTGTTCAGGATTTGAGTGGATGTGCTACTGCTGCTTCATTTATTCCAGGTCTGACCGCTGGCAGAGTATGATTGAAGTGGAGTGACTGATAGTTTGATTTTACAAATACTTGAGGAGCTGAACAAAGCACCATGTCCAGCGGACGTTGCACCCTCTGGGATTGGTGTTTATGTGACCGGGCCCCGTCAGAAGCAGCTGGCTGGGAGCTTTTTCATTATGGAGAGTGTAGTTGATTGCATTTTCTCATGCACTCTCTGTAGTGTCTAAATGGAGCCACTATGCACTCATCGCCTTGCCGCCATCTCAAGAAGCTGCTACAGATCTCAATAAATCCAGTCATTTTGGTCAAGAAATCCCAGAAAATAACGTTGTTCAGACCATCAATTATCTCTTTGACCAGATATGTCCTTGCAAAATGCCATGTTGGTCTTCGCACAGTACTCAATCTGTCATCAACATTTAGATACCTGTGCTACAGCAGAAAAGACAAACACATAATCACAGTTCAAAGGCAGTGGGGAAATAAAGTCTGTGTAGCTTGATTGATGTGGCTATGTGTAAAGAGTGTAAGGACATTAAACTGTCTCTTGAAGTTGCAATACTCAACGGAAAACCAGCTGATTAGATGAATCACAAAGTGAATTGAGAAAAAGAGAGAATGGGGACTTTAGTGGTGGTCAAAAAGTGACCAGGAATACAATCAAGCCATTTTAAAAGCAAAATAATGAATGGGGAATGATGGTCTACTCACCCAGTCAACATCAGAGACTTATATAAAGATGGACAACACATCTCCACTTTTGGGGCAATTACAAGACAGTTTCAGCTATCACTCTTGATAAGCAATTGAATAAGCATTAGTGTGATAAGATCTGCTTAAAATTGCATGAAACATTTTTGAAAAAAAATCATATGATGTCGACATTGTATTTTGGTCCATGTCCCATCCATTACCATAGAGGAGATGGGATATATGGCCCATACTGCAGCCAGCCACCAGATGGCGATCAAGACTTCAAGCTTTGGCGTCACTTTGGGGCGCCTCAATGTTTTTATATAATCCTTGTATTCACTCAATGAGACTGCGAGGAATCAAAGTGATTGAAAAATGCAATCGATATTGCCCATGAGTTGTTGAAAATATAACAACTAAGGTCAAAGAGAGGCTGCATGGGGTAAATGGCTTTTATAAAACAGAGGCGAACATGTTATTGTACATGCAAACTGCTTTTGTTTTCCACCTTTTTAAATGCTCCCTGCTACTCCTCCTTTATTACAATAACCAAAAATAAACCGTAGCTACAGGGATTTCTGGCAAAATACCTTGAATCAGCTAAATTTAATTAGAAGTGTCGCAAATAACCCCTAATCTCCATAAATAAGTACATGTTTTATGGATTGCTCATTCATAATGTATCTTCTCTCCAACTCCAAAGCAGGGGGGGTTCAAGTGCTGAACAATCCTCTATTAACAATGGGGCTCATCTGATCTTGTTAATGACCCCACACAAAGCTGATTACTTCCCCCTCACACCGTTCTATTTCCGCTAAGTCATGCATTGCATCAGATGATAGGGGTCACAGGATAAAACACTGAGAAGGAAAAAAATAGGTGGAATCAAAGTTTCAGCTGTTTTTATGGTGTCAAGGACTTTAAGGGTAAAGTGTGTAGAATTTAGTAAGATCTAGTGGTGAAGTTGCATGTTGCAGCTGAACACCCCTCACCTCACCCTCCCCTTCCAAACATGAAAAAGAAACTGTGGTAGCCTTTAGTTGTCATAAAACTCAAAAGGTGTTTAGTTTGTCCAGTCTGGACTAATGTAAAAAAACATGGCGGCCTCCGTTGAGAGGACCCCCTCAATGTTAATTTTAGTATTTGAATATAAAGGGCCTTTTCTGGGGTAAAGAAAATTGCAATTCATACAATTAAGATGAAACGAACTAGTGAAAACATCATGAGGATTATTCTACATTAACTTTCTGACAATAGTTCCCTTTCACCTAAATCTTACACACTGGACCTTTAAAGCTCTGTCAACGTGAACACACTCTTTGCATTTTGAAGTAGCAAAGAAGTTATATATTTATGTTTTTAGTTTTTTAATAATAATACACCAGAGACTAAAGCAAACAATAATATCTCCTCTATTTTTTATTCTAAATAGTGAATCATAAATACCTCTGTATCAAATTATGTTTGCCTGCCGTGCAGTAAACAAAAGCAGTGATACACTGAACAAGTGTCTCGCTGTGAGCTAGGTGTTGTTTACCTCAGTTCTTGGGTCAGTGTCATTTTTTAGTATTTCCATTAATGCAGAGTGAACACATATCCCAACAAAGTGGCAAACATTGGTGGTATTCGCTACTTTTAAGGTGGGAAAGTTGAGGATGGCTCAGAAACGTGTATTTGATTGAAGAACATAGTTTGTAGGATTGGTAGGTAACATACACAGAAGCTACAGGCCCATTGTGCACACAGAGAAAAAACACATGGTATTATATGAATGGAAAAGTATGGAAAGGTCAATCTACCAAAATATGTGACACTGTTAAGATCCAGCTTGTACCTCCAGGAACGTTGCACTAACAGTGGATGACGGTATTGCAGCTTGACATTGGTTGCCACCCGCTAATAAACAGGTCAAAGAAGAATAAAGAGCTTCACCTCGATTTTGATTCATGTAGCTTCATTCTTGACCTCTTAGATTTGTATGACTCTTCTTACACATGACACCTGGTCATTACCTCTAATCTACCTAAAACACCAAGATAAAAAAAAAAGCTGTTTGTTTTGTTGACAATTCTTCAACTTCCGTTTATAAGATTCTGATATTTACCACCAGGATTTTTCAACCTCCATACATGTCAGGCTTTATTTCGGGCCAGCAGTGAATGCAGCATGTCAGTGTTATGTGAGGCCCTATGTAGTGTTATGTGAGGCCCTATGTTTCAATTCCTTTGGACTTCAATAATGCCTCTTCATTTTCTTTTTTCTACTTCTTCTCCCCCTACAGGTGTCTCTTAGAACTTAACAGAAGATCGCCAAGCAGAGTGACGTGTGTCTGGTAAACACAAGAAAACTGTTGTTTTCATCTGCCATGTAGCAAAGAAAGTCACGGAGAAGTAGAATTGTTTTATCAATGTAATAACTTCACTTTTCTTACTTAAGAATAGACATAGGCAGACACAAGTAGTTTGTCCTCTCAAAGTAAAAATGTTACAAAACTGCCATAAAAATCAGCCGAGTAAGATCGCTGCTAACGAAATTACGGGACAGAGTGTTTTTGTCACTATGACAACGTAACTGTGGAAACTCTCTTGTTAGCGGAGCTATTTTTCAATCCGGCAGTGAAGTGGGACTTGGTGGTTTGCAGTGGTGCCTCCATGTCGAGTGCTTATTACCTGACTGAATGAACAGACCCTTGCCATGTCAGAAATGTTAAAAAGAGCATAGCCTTCTGGGTCAAGGGATCTTGTGTCATCAATGAACTCATTCTACTTTCTTGTGATGGCGGACAAATCCATATTAGCAAAGGTTCAAAGGTTTTATTTGTCATCTGCACAACAGATACAGCGTACATGTTGGCAATGACAATCTTAAATCCCAGGCACCTCAAGCAACTCAACATGCAAGTGTCAGAAAATAAGAGTAACTACAAATACAAATACCATACACTAGTGCAAATGAAACAATAAGTACAAATGTCAGTACTTGTGCATGGACCTTAAGTCTGCAGCTGATGGTTTCTGGTGCTGTTGACACTTTTGAGTCTGGAAGATTTCTATAAAGATCACCTGATGTAAGACATTTTCAGGTTTTCATTCATCATTTTGGAAAGTTAATACTAAGGACAGATTTTGGTTTGCAAACCACCCAAGAAGAATCAAGATTTCATGATCACACATATGGAGAAAAAATATTTATTGAGATACTGATTCACATTATCCCCTCCATTTTAGTGGTGAAAGTCTTTACCATGAACCATCTTCTTCTAATCAGGACGTACGCCGGGGTGGTGGCTGTATGAACTAACAGCAATCATACAGTCATACATTCGTCCAGTCATACATTTATCAAAAATATTGCAGTAGTGGTGGTTGTAACCAGCCGACCTGCTCCTATATGCATACTGATTGACATTATCCACTTTTTTGTAGTTGTGAGAGCCAGAGTCTTGACAAGAACCCGTCTTCATCTTATTGGAAGGATGCACGCCAGGGTAATGGTTGTAACCAGCCGGCCTGCTCCTATATGCATACTGATTTATATCATCCACTCTGTTGTAGTAGTGAGAGCCAGAGTCTTGACCAGGACCCATCTTCTTCATATCAGAAGGTTGTACGCAGTGATGTAGGTTGGTGTGGTGGGGCTGCACAAAGTTTCTCTCCTCAACATGAGATGGACCATTCTGCTGGATGGGGTTGTTGGTTCTAAAAGAATTCTGTGACCCACTCACTGTCTGAGTGTCAGAAGACCCAATGTTTTTCTGACATACCTTCATCATTTCAAAACACGACCAAACACTGCAAGAAAATCAAACCAGTCATCAGCCATGTTTATCATTCATGTTAGATTATTAAGATATATGACATATTTTTAATGTTTAATGTTTAATGACCTGAATATGAAATTCACCCATCCACAAATATACAAGCGGAAAAGTTGTGGAAATTATTATATGTTTAAAACTTCACATTGACTTACTGGTGGCTGTGGTAGTATCCATTGGCAATGTGGACCATGCTGATGAAAGGATGCTCCAACACCTGTTGGGGTGTGATCCGTTTCATGGCCTCAAGCTTAAGCATGCCCTTCAGCATGTTCACAAACATCAGTTTATCATACGAGTCGACAGTTTTATTTGGACAACTGATGTCCCCGACCTAAAACATTAATGAAGATAAGGGTTATTTACAGGCACCTCCTGAGTAGATACAAATGTCTCTTGGACATTTTTGCATGTGTAAGCTCATGTGGAATGATCTAAAACAAAACTTACATCCAGGAGGTCATCCAGAGAAGTGAAGAAAAACTTCCTGTTCTCCTTCGGTTGGATCCCTGTGTCATAGCAGTACATTCCTGTTGTCTGTTAAGAAAGTTTTCTTGTTAGCATTAATATTCTCTGTTCAAAAACAGAGAAGGATCTTTAACAGCAAGGCGGAAATGTGAAAATAACTCATCAGGTTGTTGTGGGTACGAACTTTGAGTTTCCAGAAAGTGTTGGTGGAATCTCTCCAGAAAAACGTCCTAGTTTTCAATCCATGGTCGAGCATGGTGTCAGGTAGCTGACCCTGAGTTTCCACAATGTACTTTATCTGAAAATACAACACAGCTTATAAAGTCCAAAATTTTAAGATAATAATAATTTCAATAAAGCATGAAACCAGATTCTAAAAAGTAATCTTTAAATAATGTGTACTGTTTCATATTCACTCTTCCCAGGGAAGAGTAGGTTGCCGAAGTACAGCGTAGCAGCCATGCAGCCCAGAGCCCACATGTCTATGGCCTCTGTGAAGGGAAGTCCCAAAAGGACCTCTGGAGACCTGAGAGAGAGGAGCAACAACTATGATCACATAACTATTGAATTGGTTTGAAAGACATTCTAACTGTGACTTTTACAGAGTAAAATGCTTCACAGAGACATTTGTGTGAATGTTATGTTGTATTTCCCTTATTCCCCATATAGCTGCATGTATTTATAAATGTTGTAATAGTTTATTATACTGTTGTGAAAATAACTTCTAATGTTGTTTTATACTAATCCTTCAGTGATTACCAATGGATGATCAATATTTCCATTATTCAATTTCTGTCTTACATGGTTTTATCAATTGGTTTTCCATGCAATGAATGTTTATTGGGTCACGGAGGAGATAGAATATGCATCCTCGCCCTTTAAACATTAGGTTTCACAATTAAACAATGCAAAATCACTACTTCACCTCCAAAAGAGAATATCACAGTGTGACCAACCCAGATCCTTTGACGTTCCTGAGGCCTGGGTAATAAGTCAAAGGCTAGTCACACCATCTTTGACTTACACTTCATCTTCACTTCTTTTACTTAACTCATCTCTCACTATCTTTTCTGCGCAATATTACATTTTTCTTTAAGCCAAATCAACAGCTGCTGATCAGAAAAATACTGGTCCAACACCAACCAATCAAAAATATGCCAACTCCAAGCCTTCACCATCAGTGTGAGATCGAGTGACTGAGAAGACAGTCCAGAGAAGAGCCCTCAAAGGTGTGGCCCCTGGCAGAACTCCCTGCGTATGGAGCATTATTCTTATCTTTATTCAAGAGCCTGGTTTTTAAGTTTGAGAGCATGACTTGTTGAATTCAACCCAACTTTTCCAACAACTAGTACATCACCAAGAGATATGTTGTGGATCCAGGTACTCACCTGAATGGAATGCTCTGAACACAAGAGCCCAACTTGGCAGCTGACACGTCACGGGCCAGGCCGAAGTCGATCACTTTCACTCTGAAGGGCTCCCGTTGCTGATCAACCAACATCACATTGTCTAACTTGAGGTCTGTATGCATAATCTTGGCATCCTTCAAGTGATTGAGTGCACTGGCGATCTGAAATGTGATATACAAACATTGATATAATTAAAATGCCAACAGTGTTTCACCAGTATATATTTTTACATTGTTTGTTAATGCGGAGAAGAAAGCAGTAGGACACACCTGATGGACAATGGGTCTGATCTCTTTCAGAGGGAGAGGACTGTACTTTCTTTCTTTCATGAAATCATGAAGACTTTTGTCCAGGTGCTCGAACTCCAGGCAAATGTGTTCTTTATCAATGAAAGAACTGTACCACTTAACCAAGTTGCATTTGTCTGGGTCTAGTGATATCATTTTCTTCAGAACAGCCACCTGCAGATACATGACGGGTCAATGACATATTTTATATAAATACATGTAAACTTAAACAAGCCAGTACAAAGGTATAAGTATTTCTCCAAATAAAGAACAACTTTATAAAGCATTTTTTTAAAGATGGTATAACACTCAGACTTGTTTCCTACCTCTTGTTTCGCTATTTCCACATGATTTTTCTTAATCATTTTGATGGCCACAGTCTTACTGTCCTCCATCCTTGTGCATTTTGCAACTTTTCCAAACGTGCCCCGCCCCAGGACACACTCCACCGAGTATTTAGAGTACCTGGAGGAGAGAATGTCTCCTGTGACCAATTGTGCATCTTCGATAGGTTGCTTGAATGTCATTTTGGAAGTCATCATTGGATGAAAAATATTTACTAAAATAAATCTCTTCTTCTTCTCAGGTTATTGTTGGGTGGCAAACAATCTCAAGGTGCATCCACTGGATCTGCCTCTTCTTTGAACCATATATATTATTTGCTATGATCTGTGACAACATTCTAAAGTTGGAAGATCAAAGTAATAGTTCTAAGTGATGTAATACTGAAATGGATGGCTCTAATGTGCATTGATGTTGGTTGCCACAGGCCAACAAACTGCACAGTGATGAAAGCGACGCAGCTAATTGTTGCCACATAAACACATTTAAAGTAACTCTGAGGTCCTGAGGAAATATTTCCTCCATTTCTCTTCCATTCTATTCCATTCTTCTTCCTCAGATTTTCGCTCATTGCTGTTAAAATGCCTGAGAGAGGTGTTTGCGTGGCAGAGTAAAATTAGATGTTGATGATTTGATGACCGGCTTCTGCGTACTAATGGGTGTATGTCAGTCAGAATTTAGTTGGGCCGAATTAGCATGTCATCCCATGGGCTCATGGGAGTGATGTCACAGAAACTGCAAACTGATTAGAGGAGTGAAATTCACAGAATGCGACGATGTACATAAAGAGAATTATCGGTGAGCAGTAACTACAGGCAACTTTACAGGAAACCCAAGAGGGGATCCTCACCGCAGCACTCAAGTCGATCTTTGCATTGCCCTCACATGGGGATAAACCATTACGCAGTACATTGGAGCACAATCAGATTGCACATGAGCTGCATTTTCCCAGCAGCTCATGAGTATTTCAAAAAAGAAAAAAGGACTGCGGGGCATGTTCTACTGTCATCATCATTATCAGTCAGCAGCAGCAAAAAAGTGACAACTGAGTGAAGTTCTGGAGGCGTACTTTTATACTGTCACAATACACAAAACATTAAATTATGAACTACAAAGAGGCCCAAGAAGTTTTTGTGACTGTAAAGTTGAGATCAGTGGTGCATTATTTAGTAAATGGCTTAGATTTAAAGTTTTTAAATCAAATATTTTGTACCCTGCTGTTTTCTTTAAAAAGAAAAGCATTTGCTCAAATAAACAGTATGAGCTGTAAAAGACCAACTATAATTACAATATAATATCAACAGATATCTTCTATCTATATGATTTACACCAAATGGAACAATAAAATAATTCAATGAGCTTCAACACGTCACTTTACACTGTGTTGGTCAATTGTACAACTCCAAATCCATTGATACACAATGATTTGATTTAGATTCTTCCATTATGGTTGATTCATACAGGTCTGTGTAGGCAATGAATCATTTATGTAATCTGTATTTCCTATCATCAAGGACTCCCACCATAATTGCACATCCTGGCATAAACACACAATGATACAATAGCCTCATTTATTTCATTAAGAAACTACCATGTTAACCTATATCCAGTCAGGAAGAGTATGTCCTGATTTACCCATTTGTAGCAAATGGGGATACAAAGAATAGAGCCTAATGATTTGGCGTTAGGCTCTATTCTTTGGATGTACCCTGGATTACCCGAGCAGCGTGCTAAGATAAAACAGGGAACATGTGCAGAACCCCCTGTTGGGTGTAGCAGGCAATGTGCCTTTCTTTAGGTTGAATATCGTTTACCAAGACCGTGTTTGGACTCGACAAAAAGGTGGAGGCTGGGGTGGTGGAGGCAAGTTGCCGGCAGCAGGCGTGGGTGGCAGTGTAGGTGAGCAGGAATCATGGAGGATGAGGTCGTATTTAAAGGGGCCGCTTTGGTGAGAGAATGAGCTGTGATTGGTGGGTGGCTGACGAGCACCTGTGACCTATCGGTAGCTGACAGCTGAGCATATGACTCCGTGTCCTGCATGAACTAACGCAAAGCTTCATTATCTGTAAATTCTGCTCCTCATTGGCTATACAACTACGTCAATGGCTTGGTGCTATTACAAACAGGATGAGATCCTTCCTCTCAACACAGACTTACTGACTATTGAACCCTGTGCACAGGACATCAAGCTACTAAGTGGTCAAACAGGGTATCAGTATTGGGCCGGACAAATAAAGAATTTTAGCATTGTCGACTTCATTGCAAGAAAGTTCCCACTCTGAGACTGTGTGGATTTTGTGGACTCCAAATTGCCCCGAGGTGTGAAAGGTTGTTTATGTGTATGTTGGCCCTATATACGCTCGCAACCTGTCCAGTGTGTACACAGCCTCTCGCTCAATATTCTCTGGGATTGGCTCCATCTCCCCCTGTGACCCTCAAAGGATAAATAGAATAGATAATGGATGGAAACATAAGGATGTTTCTTTTCATCAAACTGCCCATCAAATTTTATACATAAAAAATCCTACAGCTGATGCATTACTAAGGTCTTCACAAGCCAAGGATGTTTGAATCAATAATTATATTTAAAATGGAGGTGCAACGTCCTTGTGTTTAGGTCATTGTGCAAGTTGTTGACCTCGAACTCATAAAGGATACGTTGCTCGTATGTTGTATGGAGGAATAGGAAACACTGGTCATATACAACACTGCTAATTACCCTCAGATCTAAACTGTGCATGTTTAGCTGATGGATTCTGACTTTTAAACACCGGGAAAAAAACTGTGTTCAATAAATTTCCCACGATTGAAAGTAGGTTTTATATTTTATTCCAAAACCTTCAAAATAAGTTTCAAGTTCAAGAAAGTAGAATAAGCTTAGACACAATGCAAAGCATCATATACAGACGGATAAAATACATTTTATATATTGCAGACAAGCCATGGTGGGTCTTACATATGTACAGTATGTATGTAAACTTTTATTTACAAACTTTTTTACATATACAAAAAGCCTTGTTTCTATTTTTCTTTGTATATATTTATATATATATTTATATATATATAGATTTTCCATATACTCCCCACTAGCATTTGTACTACAATAATGAAAAAGAAAAACATTTACATATATGTCGATCCATTTTTTCTTTTTATATTACAAATGTATTTTCATAAAAATATATCTCTGTACAAAAAAGGTTTTAATTCGTTAACATATTCTCCTTTTCTCAGAGACACTTTCCCTCCGTAGTTGCTCTCTGTAGTATCACACAGTCTGCTCACGTCCACGTTTGACCATTTTCTTTACACGTATCCCTTTTGGTGTACAGCAAGAGAATGACACTCGATCATTGCCTGTTACTGTTTCGTTGGTTTATTGAGGCGTTTAGGGGCCATGTTGATCTTGCTTAGGTGCAATGGGCTGTCATGCCTTTCAGCCTCACATAGTGGAGATCTACTGGATTGGCATGAAATAATATCATGAGAAAGGAAAAGAAGAAAACCCGGGACCTGGCAATATCGTTGTTACCATGACAAACACACAGGAATGTAAAAGTCTCTGGTAATAAAAAGCAGCTCTCTGTAAATATTTTGCTATGTTATACACTATAGATAAATTGGACATTCTGTTTTTATTCCAAGGATGACACATACTGGCATTTTTTTTTCTCCATTACTGCACACAAACAGGGGAGCAGTTGACAGATATTGAACACGGTATAGATAGATAAATTCTGATGCACTCAGTGAAATGAAATACATTCAGTGGTTTTTCCAGCAATAACTCCGGCGACAAATCATTCCAATCCTTTCCATTTATAGAATAAAATTCCTCTAAGCTCCACAGCCTTTCAAAATACACCCCACCCCTCCTCGTGGTTAAGTCCACTAGACACGCTGAAATGGGCAGAATAGTGATGGCAAATTACATTGAATGGGCCTGAAAAACACCGGACAGCGTGGCTGTGATGCTGCAGTCAATAAGCAGTGACAATGACAAAAAAAAAAGGACGGTAAAAAATGATAGTTGATGCATAATATGTCAAACAGCATGACTGATGCATTTCTCTGGTTTTCGGTACATGTGCGATGCAGCCTTTGCTGAGAAGTGAGAGCTGCAGTTGCACAAAGAACCTGGAAGTTTTTGGTCTCGCCCCCCTCGACTGTGAGGAAATTCAGTGAACTCAATGGGAACTAAAAAAGACCATAGCCGTGATGTGTTTCATTATAGAAGAGATGGTGAGCAGGAGAGAACTCCCGAGCTGCGTCGGGCTGATAACGGAAATGAACTTAGGATGAGCGGAGTTTTGCTCTTAAAATATGCAAAGAGAACCGGGAAGTAGCTATCAAGAAAGACCGTCTCCCAGCTCTTACAGCAAGGCTCCATCCAGAACTCACTGATATCCATTTACACAGAACCGGACTTTCTCCGAGAACTTTATGGATTAACCCAGATAGGTTAGAAAAAAGTTTCTATCGGCCCATTAAATGAAAACCACCCACTGAATCAATTCTTAATCTTAATTCTGTTATTTTGTCTAATTCTTATTGGGTTGAATTCAGATTTTCTTGAAAGGGGGGCTCAGTTTTTTGAGTCAATGTGTGTCGGGGTCAGACTGGTGGAGCAGGCAAAACCAATCCAATCTTCATTTTGAATGATTGAATTCTTGAAAAAGAGCCACTGTTGCTGGTCCATCACATCACAGGGTTGTACCAAGGCACTGTAATGAACATAAAGTGCTTATAGGAGACTGGAGGTACAAAAACATGGGGAAAAAGTGTATGAGTCCGATCATTTAAAAACTATTTCTGAAATCTCTCAGCCTGAGCCCTTGTTGATAAAGAACAATCATAGTTGTGTGAATTGTGTTCGTCCAATCCAGTGTTTAAACAGATAGAATCACTTTTATCTAGGGGCCACCATCCCATTTGTTTGTTTAATATTCCACGCAGTTTGAGAAAAGTGTTGCATACTGTGTGTTAAACGATAAAGGAGAAAGACCATGCCAAAGTGGCCTCAACAGACAGGGACTGGAATTAAATGAAGCATACTCATTCTGCTCAAATATCTGGAGCAATTTCAGAATTAAAACAAAAAAATGAAAACGCAACAGGCGCTTAAATAGTGAGAACTGAGCACCGGTGCCTCAAGATGAATGAGTGCAACTGTTCCTCTCTCCTC